GTGTGTGTGTGTGTGTGTGTGTGTGTGTGTGTGTGTATGAGCCTGGAATCAGAAAGCAAACATTGAAAAAAGGCGGAAACACAAGTCATCAACATCAAAACAAGCGGTTACTGTAAATACTTGCTGCTTTTATATTTTGCAGTAAGCTGTTTAAAGCTGGCAAACGATCAAGGCAGATCTTGTTAGGATGGTTGTTCATGATGAATTCTGACCTGTTTGGCTTTACTCCGCTCAGAAGAACAATCAGTGAAGCTTGAGTAAATCAGTTTTCGATAACAACAGTTTAATGAACCTAGATATCCGGTCGGCTCACTTCATTGAGTTGGTTTTTATTTTTTTCGAACCGTGCCAGAAAGAAACTCTGCTGCGATTTGTTGTTGAAGCAAAAGTTCCACATTTGTGATTCCACTGAGCTGTTCCTGTCCACATTCTCTCCATGTTCCTGTGTTTTTTTTATGGACCTGCAGGCCAAAGGCTTCGAGTTGAGTTATTTGGAGAAAGTCCCAGAGGTGAAGGACACGGTTCACAAGCAGTCACTGCTGCATCACGCCTGCTCCATCGTGGTCGAGAAGTTTCCAGACAGCTCAGATCTCTACTCTGAGATCGGAGCCATCACACGCTTGGCCAAGGTTCATTTAACATCTCCGTCGGTTTTTTTATTCATCTGCGTTAACAACATAAAGGGACGAGTTTTCATCAGTTTGTGGTTTTGTTCTCAGGTGGATTTTGACCAGCTTCAGGACAACCTGGCCCAGATGGAGCGAAGGTGCAAAGCATCGTGGGATCACCTGAAAGTCATTGCAAAACATGAGATGAAACCAGCGTTGAAGCAAAAGATGTCCGACTTCCTCAAAGACTGTGCCGAGAGAATCATAATTCTCAAAATCGTACATCGTAGGATCCTCAACAGGTTTGTTAAAGTGTCACTAACCCTCCTGTGAAAGCGTAACCCCGCCCCCAGGCAAATATAGAAAATTTTCAACAAAGTGGGAATTGACTCRGCCCCCGTGAGCAAAAGGTGTGAATCAGGGCCCCGATGATACCAACACAAAGAGGGAAAGAGGGACAAAAAAACAAGGGGACGTCGAACCCCTGCTTCCATTCACTACATTCACATAACACGACACAGGTCAGGTGATGGGGCACATGACCCTCTATGAAAAATAGAGCCAATAAAGCTTATTGTTAGTCGATGGCCCTCTTTTGCATGTGACTAACCTGTTTGTCCATGTGGAGGCAGTGCTTATAAGGCTGAGTTCACCTGAAACTCATCAGACTGAAGAAATCTCTTGGAGGAGAGACGAAACGTTTCACTAAAGAAGAACTCATCCAGAGGACCTACTYATTTTTTCTTTTTGATAAAGCTAATACCATTAAGGCCCAATTTAGACAGTTTATCTTAAAAAAAAGTTGATTTGGGGTTTAGTTACTCTTTAAAGTTCAGATTCATTCACAAATTCTTCCATTTTAATGCACGTTTGTATACTTAATGTAATATTTGGTATAAATACACAAATGTCAGTGTGTACTCACATAAGTGAAGATTATTCTTGTATAGCCGTACATTAATTGTATACTCTTCACATCTGCAGGTTTCATGCCTTTCTGTTGTTCCTCGGCCATCCGATATACGCGGCCCGCGAGGTCAGCATTCATCGCTTCAGTAAAATCCTGAGCGAGTTTGCCCTGGAGTATCGCACGACGAGGGAGCGCGTGCTGCAGCAGAAACAGAAGAGGGCCAACCACAGAGAGAGGAACAAGACCAGGGGCAAAATGATAACAGATGTAAGTGCTCCTCAGCGCACACACTTCCTTCATTTTCTAATCATCCTCTTTGTTTAGTTTGTACTCTCTCCTTTCTGTGGAGCGATATTAACAATCCCCTGACAGCGCTTCTATTAATCTGGGGGCCGTTTCTAATGACATCAGCAGAGTTCCTGTGYGTTCACATGTATAAGTTACTGTAACAACAATCAGGGAGTTGTCGTGTGTTCCAGTCTGGAGCTGCGAGCGGGCTGAGAACGGCCAGAGCAAACATTTTGGTGTGTGATTAAAATCCCAAGAACCCCCCGGAGAGTCGGCCGCTCAGAGAAGCCTCCGCCGTCGGCCCCCGACAGGACCCCCTCTCTCTTCAAAACGGACCCCAATTCGATCTCTGTGTGAAAATTCAAACCTCTGGAGGTCCCCGAAGGAGAACCAACGGGTGCACACCTCAGAGACGCTCCTGCAGTCAGATACTGTAGTTTCACACAGAGATGTTCATGAGTCTGCAGTGTTTGTTTTGTGGCGCAGAGGAGTCGAAATGTCACGAGCAAGTTGGCGTTTAAGGAAATAGTTTGACGTTTAGAGCACAGCTTTCTTTTACTGGGCTGTGATTAGTAGGCCAGCAGTATTCATGAGGGAGCGTTCACGCTCAAACAGTTTATTGGTCACGAACGCTCAGACTTCAGTGAAACTTCAGCTGAAATTTGACATTTCTCACTCTTTTAAGGTCATTTTTTTCACCTATTAAGTTTCCCAAACGTGGCCATTCAGTGAAATTGGGCCTGAACTGTTTTTATACAGAAGTAAACATTGATGTGCAATAAATCGGCCAAAAGCTCTGCTCTTTGTTAGAAGTTTTGTGGAAAAAGAAAAGTAGAAACAGGAAACAAAATTTAACTGAAAGATTTTGTCGTCTTAAACTTGTTTGTTTTATTTGAGAAAACTGGAAGGTCCACTGATTTTATGTTAACTTTAAAAAAAGATTGATAAATGTATGTCATTGTTTTAAACATTARCACGGTTTCTAAAATGTATTTTTACAGTAATGACACAAATTTCTGTCAATACTTTAACTTAGGCTAACAACATGACAACCTAAAACTCACCAAGTTTATGGTTATTATTGCCTGGTTGATAAAATCTATTTTGTTGCTCTGATATTATTCAGCTGTTTTTGGATATCTATTAAGAAATTCATACTTTTTTCTCAAAAATCAAATCACCCTTCAAGAAAACTACAGTTAATTTATTGAAAATACCAATAGATCAGCAGACCCACTTATTTATTTAATTTCATTAAGAGGGAAAGTACGATTTGAAATGTCCTGATGCATCTCAGTAATCCAGGTAAAAAATCAAAAAGAAAAAAAATTGTATAGGTCTTCTGGACGGGTTCTTCTCTAATGAAACGTTTCGTCTCTCCTCCAAGAGACTTCTTCAGTCTGAGAGTTTCAGGCTAAATTCAGGCTTTTAAGTCCTGCCTCCATGTGACTGATACTCACATCACACGGCTATCGTTGACACCTAATTAACACCTTTAACAGGGGTGGAGTGATACTGGCAATAGCAGCACTGTAGGAGGGGGACAACTGAAAACGGAGGCCTCCACCTCTGTTTAATGATGGACGGTCTTTCTTCACAAAAATGGCTTCTTTTACTCCTCTCTCAAACCAACGTTCCTCTCTATCAAGAATGAGAACATCCTCATCTCTGAAAGAGTGACCGCTGGCCTGTAAATGAGTGAAAACTGCAGAGTTCTGGCCATTAGAKGTAGCTCGTCTGTGTTGGGACATTCTTTTGAACAGTGGCTGCTTTGTTTCCCCGATGTATAACTGGTCGCAGTCCTCCTGGCACTTAACAGCATATACAATATTGCTCTGTTTGTGCCGGGGCACCGGATCTTTAGGGTGAACCAGCCTTTGCCATAATGTGTTTTGGGGTCTGAAAGCCACTGGGACATCATGTTTAGAAAATAAACGTCTCAGTTTCTCCGAAACACCCGCAACATACGGAATAACCACTGGTTTGGGTCTGGGTTTGGGGTCTTCATTTTCACCTGAAGGTTGCATGGAATCCTGTCTGTGTTTCCTGTCTGCTTTCAGGAAAGCCCAGTCAGGATAACCACACTGCTCCAGGGCCTGTCGTGTGTGTGATTTCTCTTTCTGCCTGGCTCCTGGGTTTGTAGGGACACTGTCTGCTCTGTGGACTAGAGTCCTGATCACTCCTAACTTGTGTTCCAATGGGTGGTGGGAGTCAAAACAACAAATATTGGTCTGTGTGGGTGGGCTTACGATATACGCCAGTTTCCAACCGTCCTCCATCCAAAACCGAGACATCGCAATCCAGGAACGCCAACCTGCCATTTTTTACATCCTCTCATGTGAACTTAATATATTCATCCACAGAGTTGATGTGATCAGTGAAATGTTGGACTTCCTGGGCTTTAATTTTAACCCAGGTGTCGTCAACATATCTGAACCAATGGCTCAGTGGCACCCCTGAAAAGGACATCAAGGCTCTCTTTTCCACTTCCTCCATGTACAGGTTTRCAACAATAGGAGAAACTGGGGATCCCATAGCACACCCATGTTTCTGCCTATAATATTGCCCCCCGTACGTGAAGTAGGTTGACTCCAGACCTTTTTGTCATTTTTTTACTATTTGAAATGTTTGTTAACCCTAAAATTCGAATGAATTTGAGAGAGAGATGTACTTCAGTTCAAGGAATAAAGTTGTTGAACAACTTGGCTAGTGATTATAAAAATGCTGGTTCTATTAGTTTATGTGGAAGATTGGTAAAATCTGACTTGTTGACAAAATATGAAAACTTATAATAAGCATTCATATAAGCTGTGGTTTGAATAATTTCATTTTAATTTCTTTTTCTTTTCTTTTGTGTGAATTTATGTGTGAATTCTTTATTTATGTATATGAATGTAGGGGTGTATATAATTTATATATTTTCTTGTTAAATGGGGGCAGACGTTATAAGATTTTTTTCTTCTTTCTACTCATCATTTTCATTGTAATGATATCGTGTTTGTATTATGTTTGAATTTTGTTTTGTTTTAATTGAATGAAATAAATTAATAAATTAAAAATGTAATTARTTAAATTATTTCATCAATCTGTTGTTTTCTGTTTTGACTTTTACAGAAAGACTTAAAACAGGCCTGGGATCATTTTTACAATCTAGCGTCACCTTTAACAATAAAGTCGAGCTGATCTTCAGAAATGTAGCTGCAGAAATCAAAGATCATCTTCTGCACACCCACAGGATTTTATTTGACCTTTTTGTCATTTTTGTTCCTGTAGAGCGAAGATGATGATGATGATAATAGTGAGGTAGGGGGTGTGTGTCGGATCTCCTGACTAACAGATATGATGTAATGGTGAAAATAACTGCATTGACGAGGCTGAAGGYGCAGAGGGAGGAAGAGGAGGCTGCATGTTGTGTGAATCTAACCTTGGAGACGTTACAGACGACTCCTGGTAGAAACGGAGCCTGGCATGCAGCAACAGTCATGAGTTTGAAGAGATAACATCTTTGTGTGTCTCAGATTGTTTGAAACGACTTAACTGCTCTGATTTTACAGCTAATCCAATCCTCCGTCCTGTTATTCTGTTTCTGCCCCCCCCCGGCCCCCCCTGCAGAGTGGTAAATTTGGCRGTGCCACCTCAGACGCACAGGAGAGCCAGCCTCAGGGGATCCAGTCTGCTGARGCTGCGGCTGAACACGAGAACATGAAGGCTGTGTTGAAAAGCAGCCCGCAGGAAGACAGCRGCACGTCCACAGTGCCAGGCCTCCGAACCCGGACCAGAGCCGGCGCCATCAGGGGTCAGTGTCATGATGTCTATGATGTCATCAAATATTCAGGACACTGACATTTTAGAAATCTACTCTAACTGAGAGCAGGGGTCTCAGAATAAATGTGACCCATCACATCAGAGGATTGAGTCAAGTTTAGTCAAAACGATCAAAGCACATTTTCAGATTCATGACTTTTTAAGCTACATTTTGATACCTGGATCATCCTTATCATTAGCTATAGCAGAAACATGACCTGATTTGTCTTATTAATCCTGTTAATACATTAATATTTGGTCAGAATCCTATTTTTATCTTATCTTATTCTGATGAGGATTTTTTTTTTTGTCATTTTAACAAGGAAACCTAAAATTTTATAAGGATAATAAGATTTACCAGCTGGAAAGAAATAAAAGCTTTGCTAGCTCACAGGGAAAATATCAAAAATTTAAAGCATTTTTGCTGYTTTTTTGTTTGTTTTGTTTTTTTGTTAATGTAAGGTAAATTTTATTTATATAGTACATTTCAGCAGCAAGGCTATACAAAGTGCTTACTGAACAGAAAAATGCTTCAAAAACATCTTTAGGATTATATTTCAGACAGCTCATTTAATGATAATGATATTTTGACAAAATGCAATTATTGCAAATTATATTAAAAACACTACCTGCCTATGCCTCTAAACTTAATTCTCGGTTTGATGTGATCGGTCACAAATATATTCGTATCACGTTATATGGATTGTCTGTAAAAAAAAAAACTGCTTCAAGTTTATTTCTGAACCTGATTGTACGAAAAACGTTTATTTTTGTTTAAGTTGTTTATTCATTTCATTTAAAACCCAAAATTATATACACATTAAAAACAAGATGTGCACAACATATA